ATATATATATATATAGGTCTCTATCAGTAGCTGGCAAGCTTTTTGTTATAAAGGATTAGATAATAAATATTTTAGGCTTTGCAGGCCACATGTGGTCAGTCTCTGTTCCATATTCTTTGTTTTCTTTTTTTACATCCTTTAAAAATGTAAAAACAATTTTTAGTTCATAGCCAGATTATCATTCTACAGATCTATTTAGAATGCTAACCTGGTATTTTTCTTGAAAAATTCACTTTCAGGTGAATTAGTCATGGATTCATCTTTCCTCATTTTATTTATATTTTTCCGTTAAGTTATATTTAGGAGAAAGTTGAGCAGATGATGTCTAGGGTATGTCATTAGTACAAACGCTGCTATTTTGTAGTTTGAATATGTTCACATTTCTTGGCATGCTCTTTAGAGACCCTGTTCTGCAATATAGAGGGGTCAATAGGCTCAAAATTATTGGAACTGGAAGCAAGCAAGCAGAGCTTCATTGTCTTCAGTATTCTTCCTTTGCTTGGCAATAGAAGGCAAGAAGGAATTAGCTTCTTAGAGCAGGAGGAAGTATCAGCCCAGGAAGAATTAGAGATTATTGGAACCTTCATATTTACTTTCAAAGCAACTTTTTTAACATACTTTCACCAGTATCAAATTTGCAGGAAGGAAGCATAACTCTTCAGTATTGCAAAATTTCTTAAATTTGAATGTTTAATCTAGTCTTAATGGAATTAAAATACCAGCATCTTGCATTGCACCATATTGTAAGATAGGAAATCTATAGCTAAAGCCAAATTGGTATGCTAAGTCATTTAAATTTCATTTGGGGAATTTGTAGCTTCAAGTAGGGATTTCCAGAGATTGTTAGCAATGGAAACCTTTTCAAATGAAATCTTATCCCAACTTCCAATATATAAAACCAGTAAATGATGTTTTATAAGTGTAAAGTGATAAGGTTCAATTTACATCATGTATCACATTTATATTATTTTTTATTGAAATCAGTGAGGCTGTTTTGATTAATACTAAAACTTAAAATTAGGGATTATGGATGATATTTGCAGTTTTTTATCATCCTCCAAATTCATTTTACTTCTGTTGCATAGTTTTGAGAAAATCTTGATTGACAAATTTTTGTAAATGATATTAGCGTTTTGTTTGTTTCAAGTCCATCTTGTAGTCTCAGCATACACTTCCATTAGGCTGGCTCTTGAAGAGTGGTTGGAAGTAAAGTATTATTTCAAAGTTGAGACAAATGATCTGACAACTGATCTAACAACTTCTATTTCTGATAAACATGTCAGGCAAAAAGTACCCTGCATTTAAAATAAGCACTAAAACTATAAGTTGTTATTATTTACATTACCATTAGTTTTGAGAACAGTGTATACCAAGCTGAGTCTAAGCTAGTATTTAATTTAATGTTAATTTAATCTTCTACAAATGTAATGTAACAGTGTTCTTTTTTGTATGATTCTATGTGAGTAGACATAAAAAAAATCTAAATTTTACAAAGACCAGTGCAGAGCTGCAGTGTTCCCAATTAAAACCTCTTTACTAGAATTTGTAATGTAAACAAGGTATGTTTTTTCCAGTTTTGCCTAATGTTGACAGATACCATGACACTATAGGAAAACATGATACATGTGAATATGTTCATGACAGGTTTTTTCCTAATTGTTAGACAGTGTGAGACATATTAGGTTTTTAAATGACTGCAAATACATTTTTAAAATATATTTTATATTTAAATTTAAAATAAGTTCACCATGTTAAAAGTGACTTTGGAAAGAGTTCTAAGAAACAGTTTAACCACTGCCTTAAAGGATCCAATAGTAATCCTTTCCTGTAATGTAAGCAACCATCCCTCACATTTATATTTTATAACAATAAGTATCATAATTTGGAATAAAGTGGCAAAATACTTACTCTTTTTAACACTTTGTTTATAAGTTTATCTTTTAATCAGTTTTATGAATCTTTTGGATATTATCAAGTGGTGTTAATTTAATTACTTTAATGCTAAATAATTTATAATAAATATAGCAAATATATGAAGGTATAAACATGAACCGAGAAGCCATTAGAAATCATACTGCCTCATGCCAGGTGCAGTAGCTCACTCCAGTAATCCCAGTGCTTTGAGAGGCCAAGGCAGATGGATAGTTTGAGGCCAGAAGTTCAAGACCAGCCTGGACAACATAGTGACACCCTGTATCTACATAGGAAAAATGTAAAAATTAGCCAATTGTGGTAGTGTGTGCCTGTAGTCCTAGCTACACAGGGGGCTGAGGCAGGAGGATCACTTGAGCCCAGGAGTTCGAGGTTGCAGTGAGCTATGATCACACCATTGCACTCTAGCCTGGGCCACAAAGCAAGACCTTGTCTCTTAAAAAAAAATAAAATACTATCCCTAAAGGAAGTTGGGTGATTGACAACCAAGAATTTAACAAAAATAGAAGAAAATTGGTGATAGTAGAACTATAATTCTTAGATTGCTCACTGTTGTTACTATTTTCCTAGATTCATCTGGGAAAAGTGGCTTTAGGAAAAGTTCCAAAACACTTAAGGGAAAAAAATGCAAGCTGATTGTTTTTAAGGGTTCAACTCTTGGGGGAGTGAGGGAGTGAGAAAAATATATTGTTTTCGGGGAACATATATATTAGGGAGGGGGGAACTGACAAAAAGTCAAAGACTGTAGTATCAGAATGTTATCCTATTATAAATGCATCATTCATGACTTTAAAACATTTTAATAATTCCTGTTTGCTATCTGTACAATTTCTTAAATGGAATTATATAAGTTATTTGGTAAAACAGAACTTTGTTTTTATGACGTAAATTTGTCTTTTTCAAAGTTCAAAGAAGGCCCTTAGTTTTAATAAGAGGATTTATGTTATATTCACCCTTTTTATTACAAGCTCCTCTAGTAGACTACCGTCTACTATTCTTATTTTATATCTTTAGTATCTAGCAGTGTGTGATTAGCAGTAGGGATTCAGTAAAAGTCTATTAAATTATATGTATTGGTTTTTATTCTACCAAATATATCCTCTATAAGCATGTCCATATTTAATGTGTTAAAATGTTTAGAAAAAACATTTTTTAAAATAGTCTTCATTACAGACCTGTATAACCACATTTATGTAGAAAACTGATATGGACAGAATGACTCCTTAATTTGGCTAACAAGTCTAACAAGTCCGGCCTCTGCCTGTCTCTTACATTTCATTTCCTGCAACTTCCCACTTCATTTATTTTATCCTAGCCATGCTGGACTCTTTGTTGTTCCATGGCACAGTAATAAATTCATTTCTGCATCAGGGTTTTTGCGCTAGTGTCTACATCTCGAATGCTTTTTTCCACAGAGCTTCCCAAGAGTCAATGTTCACTTTGGTCTTTATTCAAATGTCATTTTGAAAGAAGCCTACCTGCCCTTCCTCCCTCCCTCCCTCAATTTTAGGTTCAGTGCATTCACTGCAAAATTGAGTTTGAAAAGTACAGAAAATTTCTAAATACCTGCCGTCTCTTCTCACTCCACATGCATAGCCTCCCCCACTATCAGCATCCCACGCTAGAGTGGTACATTTGTTATATTGATAAACCTTCAGTTACACTTCATTATCACCTAAAGTCTGTAATTTGCTCACTCTTGGCGTTGTATATTCTAGGGGTTTTGAAAAATGTATAGTGACACGTATCCACCATTATAGTATCATACAGAATAGTGTCACTATCCTAAAAATCCTCTGTGCTCTGCCTATTCATTCCTTCCTACCCTCCCTCCTAACAACTGACCTTTTACTATCTCTATAGGTTTGCCTTTTCCAGAATATTATTTGGAATCATACAGTATGTAACCATTTCAGATTAGCTTCTTTCTTTTACTAATATGCATTTAAGTTTCCTCTATGTGTTTTCATGGCTTGATAACTCATTTCTATCTTTTTTTTTCTTTTAAAAATAACAATCTATTTTTATTAAACAATTATACCATCATTATATCTAAAACATTAATATTAATTTCTTAATTTCATATTAAGTCAAAGTTCAGATTTCCCTGATTGTTTTTCAGTGTTTGTTAGAATCAGGATCCAAATAAGTTTATGTAGTTGCAATTAGTTGGTATTTCTTAAGTTTCTCTTTCTTTTTAAAATTGAAAACCAGTTTTTGTTGAAGCATTCTATCTTTTTTTTAACTGTAGTAAAAATACATAATATAAAATTTATCCTCTTACATATTTTTAAGTGTACAGTTCAGTAGTGCTAACTATACGCACAGCATTGTGTACCAGATCTCTAGAACTTTTTCATCTTGTAAAACTGAAACACCATACCTATCGGACAACAACTCCTCATTTTTCACTACCACCAACTCCCTGTAAACCACCATTCTACTTTCCGTTTTCAAGATTTTGACTACTCTAAATATCTCACATAAGGGGAATCATACAGCATTTGTACTCTTGTGCCTGGCTTATTGCACTCAGCATAACGTCCTCAAGGGTCATCCGTATTATATTGTAGCATATGACAGGATTTCCTTCTTTTTTAATATTCCATTGAATAATATTCCACTGTATGTATAGAACACGTTTTCTTTATCTATGCATCTGTCAGTGGACATTTGGGTTGCTTCCACCTCTTGGCCATTGTGAATAATGTTGCAATGAACATGGGTGTGCAAATATTTTTTCAAGAGCCTGCTTTTAATTCTTTTGGATTCAGAAGTGGGAGAGGCCTTTAGAAACTTTTGACTTTAGACTTCCTGGTCTGAAATAGGTCCTTCTCCCCTACCACTCTGTACAACCACATCCTGCTCAACTTTTCATACTAATACTTGATATAGTATTATATGTGTACATGTCCATCTATCTCAGTAGAATGTTAGTTGCATGAGAGCAAGAACTTTGTTTTATTGACTATTATAACTTTAGAACTCAGATTAGTGCCTGGCACATAGTAGAAATTTAATGGTAAAATTTTGTTGAAGACATGAATTGGATAAAATGGAAATTAAAATAAATATGCTTGTACTTAAATGTCTTTTTTGTTCTTGTTTAGATTTTTCTGAAATATACCTTTCTCCTTTCTATTTTCAGAATATGAGTGATGCTATGGCAATTTTGCACAAACTACAGACAGGCCTGGATGTAAACGTAAGATTCACTGGTGTTCGAGTGTTCGAATATACGCCAGAGTGCATAGTATTTGATCTTCTTGATATTCCTTTATACCATGGGTGGTTAGTAGACCCTCAGGTAAGTAGAAGAATTTAAATTATATAAACACAAATGCTGGAAAAATTTGTTAATTTGTCAAATTAATCTAAATTTATATTTTCTGATACTTATATTTTTGTGCTTTCTCCTGAAATTAGCCAAACTGTGAGGTTAAGGGCACAGTCCTCCAGACTGCTAAGTCTGCCCAACACTTCTGACCCCAACTGTGTAGAGTTAGGACCCAACCACAAAGTCAGAGGGAAGAGTTCACACAAGACCACTCTCACTTTTTACAACAACTACAGGTTCAGGGGTTTCCCAGAACTACTTTCAGGTTTAATAATTCAATAGAATGGCTCACAGAACTCTCTGAAACCTGTTATACTCGCCATTATAGTTTATAGCTGGGCAAAGGTAGAGACTGGAATCAGCCAATGAAAGAGACACATAGGGCAGAGTCTAGGAGGGTTCCACATGCAAATATTGTAAGATGCAGTCTTTTGTGATTGACTTTTTTTACTCATCATGTGTCTGGAGCATCATCCAAGTTATTGCATGTATCGATAGTTTATTCCTTTTTATTACTGAGTAATATTCCATGGTGTGGCTATACCACAGTTTCACCTATTAAAGAATATCTGGGCTTTTTCAAGTTCCTGGCCATTATGAATAAAGCTGCTAGAAACATTTGTATACCGTTTTTTGCTTGCATTTCTCTGGATTAAGTGTCAGAAGTGCAATTGCTAGGTCATATAGTAGTTGCTTGTGTAATTTTGTTTGTTTGTTTATTTGTTTGTTTTTTAGAAACAAGGTCTCACTCTGTTGCCCAGGCTAGATTGCAGTGGCACGATCATAGTGTCTTGAGCCGAACTCCTGGGCTCAAGCACTTCTCCCGCTTCAGCCTCCCGAGTAGCTAGGACTACAGGCACATGCCACCACACTTGGCTAATTTTTTAAAAAATGTTTGTAGAGATGGGATCTTGCTATGTTGCCCAGGCTGGTCTCAAACTTCTGGCCTCAAATGATCCTCTCGCCTTGGCTTCCCAAAGTGCTGGGATTACAAGCATGAGCTATTGTGCCCAGCCAGTTGTATATTTTTTTTAAGAAACTGTCAAGCTATTTACTAGAGTGTGTGTACCAGTAGTTTACATTCCCTCCAGTAATGGATGAATGATCCAGTTTCTCTACATCATCGTCAGTGTTTTATATTGTCACTTTTTAATTTTAGCCATTCTGATAGTTATATAGTAATATTTCTTTGTAGTTTTAATTTGCATTTCTTTAATGGCTAATACTGTTGAACATCTTTTCTTGTGTTGTTTGCCATTTGCATATACTCTTCAGTAAATGTCTCTTCATGTCTTTTGCCCATTTTCTAATTAGATTAATTCTTTATAGTTGAGTTTTGAGAGTTCTTTATATATTCTAGATACTAATTCTTTGTCAGATATATATTTTACCAATATTTCCTCACAGTCTGTAGCTTGTTTTTTCATAAATTTAGCAGGATCTTCACAGAGAAAAAAGTTTTTAATTTTAGTGAAGTACAGTTTATCAATTTTTTCCTTTATGCTTCGTTCTTTTGGTGTTTAGTCTAAGAACTCTGCCTGGCTCTAGATGCTGAGTATTGTCTCCTGGCTTTTTTTCTAAATATTTTATAGTTTTATGTTTTACATTTAAGTCCATGATGCATTTTAAGTCAATTTTGTATAACGACATAGGTTTAGGTTTATTTTTTTTTCCTATGGATGTCCACTTGCTCTAGCACTGTTTGGTATGTACCTGTCACCTGAATCAATATTAGAACATTATCTCCCTAAAAAGAAACCCCATTAGCATTGATTGCCCATTAGCAATCAGTCTCTATTTTCCCTCACCTTTCCAGCCTACTTTTTGTTTCTAAAGCTTTGGCTATTCTGGACTTTTAATGAAATGTTAAAGAAGTCCAATTTACCTATTTTTTCTTTTGTCACTTATGCTTTTGGTGTCCTAAGAAGGCTTTACCTAACCAAAAGTAAAAAGATACACTCCTGTTTTTTCTTCTGAGAGTTTTATAAGTTAAGCACTTATATTTAGGATTATGATCCATTTTGGGTCAATTTTTGTACATGGTTTGAGGAAATGGCCCAGCTTTATTCTTATGCATGTGTATATCCAGTTGTCCTAGTACCATTTGTTGAAAAGATTATTTTTTCTCCATTGAATTGTCCTGGAACTCAAATGATCTTTGTAAAATAAACCCACCCATTTATCCTCGCTCCCTCCTCATTTCCTTAAAACCCTCCAGTATAATTAAAATAAGAAAAAATCCTTATTAGGGCTTTTACGATATGTTGCATGAGCTTTACTCTGCCTATCTGTCCAACTTCACCTCATGTACTTCTCTTTCGTTTTTACTACCCTCCAGCAACACTACCTGCCTTTCTGCTCCTCAGACATGTCAAGCTCATTCCTGTCTCAGGGTTTTTGTACCAGCTGATCACCACTGTGTAACACTGTTCTCCTACCCTAAGACATAGTTGTCACAGATCTTCATATTTCTTGTTCCTCATTATTCAGGTCTTAGGTCAAATATCACCTTGTTAGAGAAGCCCTCCCTAACCAACTTGTTGAAATTAGTTACCCTGTCTTTCCCTAGTCATTTACTCTCCCAAGACCCTATTTGATTTTCTTTACCACTCATCATTATTTGGAATTATTTATTTCTTTACCTTATTAACTGTCCCTGATTAACTTTCATCTCCCACTAGAATGTAGATTTTATGAGGGTTGGGTCCTTATATCTGAGTGTCCAGAACAGTACCTGGTACATAATAGGTTCTCAATAAATATTAACTGATGGAATGCAGCATGCATACATTAATGACAGGGAAGGAGAGATTATAATACAAGTACTTGGCAGTGCTTTTTCATCTCTGTCCTTTGGTAAAAGCAGCTGGTATTCTGGGCAATGGAAGGATGGCTTACTATTATATAAACCAGGTAACTGTATCTCTATTGGCGTTCTGTCTTTGAAAATATCACTGAAAAGTCTACACATGCCCACCCAAGGTGGGCCATGTTGGGTCCTGACAGGTGACAATACCAGGTAGTTTACATTCTTAAAGTGAATGAGGTGAACATACTGTGGAACTTATGCCTGAATTCTTAAAAATCAGTCTCAGATCATTCCTTTGACTCTAAGAGTAGCTATATATCATCTGGTAAACAGTTGAATTCATATGCTTAAAGAAAAAAATGTATTCTAATATAGGACAGAGATTGTTCAGGCTTTTCTGGTCTAGACAGTGGTTTTCAAACTCTTGGAGGAGGCTCAGGGCTCTGCTTTATATCTATTTTAGTTACTTGCTTTGTGACAGAAGGATTCTGCTGCTGAAAAGGAAAAATGAACAAGACAAAATTTTGAAATCCATAGATTTGTATGAAATACCTTTCAAAACTGGCTAGTAATTTGTATTCTGATTCTGTGTTCTGCAAATAACTATCTTGCAAATAAATATCTGCAGTTGTCTAGATGGTGCGCATCAAAATTCAGTCACTGCGAAGGTATTTCCCTGTTATTAATTGATAACTAACTCCTTAATAGCAACACTGGAGGCCAGATGACAGTGGAATGATATATTTAGTGTGCTGAAAGAAGGCAAATGCTAACCCATAATTCTGTTCCCAGTAAAATTTTTCTCCCAAGAATGAAGCAAAGTCATTTTTCAGATTAATTCAATTAAGATAAATTGCTGCCAGTTGACTATCATTAATGGAAATTCTAAACAAGTATTTTGGTCAGAAGGAAAGTCATCCCAGATGGAAATAAGAGTGAATGGAGAGAAAAATAACATGATAAATCTGATTGTTGATTGTATCAAATAATAACATTATCTCTTGGGGTTTAAAAAAAAGAACGCTAGCATATACAAAAAGTATAACATAAATTGGGGGGAGGGTTAAATGGAATTAAAGCATTCTAAGGGCCTAGAATTGTTAAAAAGAGAATAATTAACTTCTGACTTTGATGTGGTAGGGGTAGATGTTGTGGTTTCTATAGCTTCTTTGCCCAGTATGGTAACCAAGAATGCCTATTTAAATTGATTAATTAAAAATTTAGTTCCTGAGTTAAACTAGCCACATGTAACTAGTGAACATCCTATTGGGTAACACAGATTTGGAACATTTGCATCATTGCAGGAAATGCTATTGTGCTTTTCCAGAATACCAATGAAAAGTATAGAAAACATAATGGGTAACTTTAATAAAAAGAGAAAAATTACTCCAGAAAAGAAGGAAGAATGGAGAGATAAACATTGAACTGATGGGACAGAGAGAATAGTATACTTAATAAATACAAATATATGAATAATTACAGTAAATATAAATAGGACTAAATACTTTAGTTAAAAGATAATGATTCTGAGGCTGGAATAGATATATTTGCTGTTTACAAGAGACATTTCTATTATTAAAATAGTATGTTATACAGAAAGATTGCAAGGAAAAAGGGAGAAAAGAGATGCCATACAATTAGTAATCAAAAGAAAACTGGATGTTCACTTTGGTAGTGCATATACCAAAACTGGAGTGATACAGAGAAGATTAGGATGGCCGCTGCACAAGAATGACACACAAATTCATGAAGCATTCTATATTTTAAAAAATAAAAACAAAAAAAGCTGATGTACCCATGGTAGTATTAGAAAGAATACACTTTAAATCAAGAAGCATTACTAATGATAGAATGTTTAATTTGCCAAGAAGATATAATAATTTTAAATTTGTATGTTCCTGGAGACGCTTGGAAAGAAAATATCCTGATTGACTGTTCCTTGGACCCGTGAGAACTGCCACAACAAGTAAAGATCAGTTTTTGGTAATGAAAACCAAGATTTTTATGTATCTAATAACATAATCTCAAAATACATAAGCAAAATTTAACAGAATTAGCAGAAGTAGATTGCCACAGTGGAAATACATCTTTATCTGTAATTGTAATAAACATACATTCTTTTTTTTTTTTTGAGACAAGATCTTGCTCTGTCGCCCAGGCTACAGTACAGTGGCATCATTGTAGCTCACTGCAACCTCAACCTTAAACTCCTGGGCTCGAGCAATCCTCCTGCCTCCCAAGTAGCTGGGACTACAGGCATGGGCCACCATACCCAGTTAATCTTTCCATTTTTTTTTTTTTTAATAGAGATGGGGTCTCGCTCTTGCTCAGGCTGATCTCATACTCCTGGCCTCAGGAGATCCTCTGCCTCAGCCTCCCAAAGTGCTAGGATTACAGGCATGAGCCACTATGCCCAGCCATATTCTTTAAAATTAATATATTATTTTTAGGAATAATTTCAGATTTATAGGAAAGATGCAAAGATCTTACAGAGAATTCCCATGTACCTTTTGTTCAGTTTTCCCTAATGTTACCATCTTACATGACCATGGTACATGTATCCAAAACTAAGAAATTTAGTACTGGTACATTACTATTAACTAAATTACAGTCTGCATTCAGATTTCACAAACTTTTCCGCTAATGTGTTTTTGTTGATGTTCCAGAATCCAGGTTATCACATTGTATTTAATCATCGTGTCTTCTTAGTCTCCTCTAGTCCATGACATTTCCATAGTCTTTCCTTGTTTTCATGACCCATTCTTTTTATGCACCCATGAAATTTGTACAAATTGATTTAATGCTGTATCATAAAACAAGTTGCAACAAATTTCCAAGGATTTAAAACATAAAGAGTATAGGATATCCTCTGACCACAGTGCAGTTAATCTGAAAATTAGTGGAAAAACAATAATTGGATATTTCTTGTATTAAGAAAATCATAATGAAACTTAGACTGTATTTAAAAATGACACAATAACTAAATCCATATCAAAACTTATGAGATACAGCTAAAAGAAAAAGGATTTTTAAGCCTCAAATTCTTATGTTAAAAAGAAAAAACAAAATTAATGAGCTGTCTATCCATCTTAAGAAAGAACAAAGTATTAAAATCGAAAGGAAATATAAAATAAAGAAGATCAGCAAAGGTAAAATTCTTTGAAAAGGATTTTAAAATGACAAACAGAAAACAAAATTTTAAAAATGGGTTATTTATGTACCATAAATTCCTAGGAGTAAATCTGACAAAAAGATGTGCAAGATCACTATGAGAACAATTTTAAAGTTGAGAGAAATTAGAGACCTATGTAAATATAGATATATGCTTAGATTTCAAGACTGAAATTATAAAGATGTCCATTCTCCCAAGAATAAGTTTTAGTCTCACTACAATCCCAAACAAAATCCCAATAGATTTGTCAGGGGGAGTTGTGAAATGTGACAAGTCAATTCTACGATTTATATACAAATGAAAAGAGCCAGGAATAAAAGCCAAGATATTCTTGAAGGAAAACAGATAGGAGAACTTGCTCTTCCAGATACAGAATATTTTAAATATTGTCATTAAGAATTACACCAATGACAGAGAAATAGGAGCCTTAAAAGGCAATACTGGCCAGGTGTGTTGGCTCACCCCTGTAATTCTAGCACTCTGGGAGGCTGAGGCGGGCGGATCGTTTGAGTTCAGGAGTTTGAGACCAGCCTGAGCAAGAGCGAGACCCTGTCTCTACTAAAAATAGAAAGAAATTGGCCAAACAACTAAAAATAGAAAAAATTAGCCGAGCATGGTGGCTCATGCCTGTAGTCCCAGCTACGCAGGAGACCGAGGCAGGAGGATTGCTTGAGCCCAGGAGTTTGAGGTTGTTGTGAGCTAGGCTGATGCCACCGCACTCTAGCCTGGGCAACAACAAGAATCCATCTCAAAAAAAAAAAAAAAGGCATTCGAAAGAGAATGCAAAAGCAAGCCACAGAGTAGAAGATGATTGCAACTTATATAATCAATAAAGGATTACTATCCAGAAGGTATAAAGAGCTCCTGCAAATAATTTTAAAAGATAGACAGCCCAACAAAAGGAGCAAATTACTTGAACAGGCACTTCACAAAAATGGATATCCAAATGGCCCGTCAACATATGAATTAGTCATTAGGGAAATACAAATTAAAATCAGAATTAGATACTATTATGCACACATAAAACTAACATTCAACATTCTGACAGTATTAAATATTGGAGAGGATATGCAGCATAGGGAATTTTCATTCCCTGCTGACGAGAATGGAAATTGGCCATCTACTTTGGAAAACAGTTTGATTTATCTAGTAAAGTTGAAGATAAGCATATCTTAAAGTCAGCAATTTGGCAAGGCATTTACCCTAGGAAAACTGTTGATGTGGGGAATAGGATAAATGTACAAAAATGTTCATAGCAGTGTTATTTACCATAGTCCCAAACTGAAAACAAGCCAAACAGTCATCAAAAAATGCATGAGTAACTACATTATGGTATATTCATACTATGAAATACTATACTGCAATGAAAATGAACATCCAATAGCTGCATACCACTACATACAACTACCTAGCATATTATATATTTGTTTATTTTGTTTATTATTTGTTTTTACTCTAGAATATAAGCTTTATGAAAGTTTAGACTATTTTGTTCACTGCTGTGTCTGCAGCTTCTCTAACAGCATCTGGTACGTAGTAGTTTGTAATAGGCACCTAAATAAATTAATTGAATGAAATATTAATATAGAGATTCTGCCTATGAAAATTTGAAATCTTTGTATTTTTTTGTTGCTAGTTTATAGAAGCATAATTGATTTTATTATATTGATCTTATATTTATTATTATAGTTATGTTTTTAGGGATTCCTTAGAGTTAAAAATTTAAATTCTTTGGAAAGACTTCATGAAGTTGAGTCACTAAAGAAAAATACTGTAAACAGTAAAGGTGTTCAGAAAAATAATGAACATCTGAAGAGATTTTGCCCTCAAATTGTTCTTACAGGTCTTTCATTTTAAATAAATCAAAACTGGAAGTCATAGATATGTTTTTTGTGTGGTTTACATAGAATCAAAGCCCAAGGATCATCTCCTCAAGGAAAGGCCTTATTTGGCTCTGCATCAAAAAATTGAGCCGCGAATACATTTTTGTGTTTCAGGTTAACATGAAATGTTTAAAATATGTATATACCTGTACAACATTTTCAACAGTTTCCCACTTTGACTTTTTAAATTAACTGATCTTCTCATCAGTCCCAGTAGCATGAGTTAACAGGCTTTTCTATCATAGAGTTTTGTAGGAACAGGGAGAATAAATTATAGTTTAGAGCAGTGGTTCTCAAACTTTGCTATGCATCAGAGTCACCTAGGCAGTGGAATGAAAACTTAGACAATTAAGAAGCATTTTGAGATTGGAATTCTGTTAGCT